AGTTTTACTTTAATCAATCACTCGGATTCAATCACATCTTATTCCCACGTAGCTTATTTACGTTGCTTCGAAATGGCATTGTTTCGGTGCAAATACCAGAAGTTGTTAAATATTACTGTAAATCTCCACAGCGTTGGGTGCGGTGGAATGCAATCGCGCGGTCCGCTCGAGGAATATTTTCACTGGCCTGTAAGCTTTCTGAACATTTTTACATGTACGAATACTTAATCAATACTGATAAATCCAAATCTCGTTGACATCGACAAAATTTAATGTTACTAGTGACAATATAATTTCTCGGTTATGACTTTAATACATTATCAATTATTTGTAAACAGTACTTATAGAAAGCAAGCGTTGAATCTAAAATGGCATCTGAATGAATTGTTGGCGCATTGTCTAAGCTTTTGACAAGATTACAAAAATTATTCATAAGATATTCATGCAACAAGAACACACCATGATAAAACTCGACGTTTCTGATTGGTCCCTCGTTCTTTCTAGGGATGTTTCAATCCACAATCCACTACTCACATTAATTTAGCGTTTAACGTAAAAATAAGCCCTTGGTGAAGCAGATTAAATGAAATTTTACTTACACGTAACATATTTGCATTCGCGTTGCTTCGAAATAGCATTGTTTTTAGTACCGAAAGTAATTAAATTCCAGAATCATTCTCTGAAGCGTGGGGTATGATGTATTGCGTTGTATGCTCGAAACATATTTCCAATGCCTTGTATGCTTTGCGAACATTTTTTCATGTAAGATTATTTTTTCAATACTGATAAATCCAAATCTCGTTGACATCGACGATACTTAATGTTACTAGTGACAATATCATATCACCGGTATGACTGTTATATATTATGAATTATTTGTAGTCAGGACATATTAACAAAACGCGTGGCGTCTTAAATTGCATATGAATGAATTGTTGGCGCATTGTTTAAGGCCTTGCCAAAATAACATAAATATTTCATAAGATATTCATACATCAAGAACACACCTTGATACAACTCGACGTGTTTGATTGGTCCTTCCTTCTTTCTAGGGATGTTTCAATCGGCAATTCGCTATTCACATTAATTTGGCGTTTTCCGCACAAGTTAGCCTTCAGTGAAGCAGATTTCATCACATTTTATTTCCGCGTGACATATTTGCACCCGCGTTGCTTCGAAATAGCATTGTTTCTAGTACGGAAAGTAACTAAATTCTCGAATAATAACGTTGTTATTTACCTATTGCGAGTTACCAACTTTTTTTTTCACTCATTTATTCGAAATTTAATAAGGAATCGAAATATGTAAACATTTTTGTAGTAACTGATTGCGAAGTACATGTAATTTCTAATCGTTTATAATCGCGTCCAGTTTGCGCCTCTGCACCGATGTAAACAAATGAACGTAGTTATTTACATATTGCGAGTTACAAATTTTATTTTTCACTCATTTATTCGAAATTGAATAAGGAACCGAAATATGTAAACATTTTTGTCGTAACTGATTGCGAAGTACATGTAATTTCTAATCGTTTATAGCTTTTATGTATTTCTTTAAACAAATTACACGCTACGTAGAACTATGTTTTGTTTTAATAAGATAATGAAATAATATCAAAATTTTCCCATTTTCATCAAAAAATACACCCAAATGATTTACTAATAGCGCGCCGCGTCCAGTTCGCGCCGCTGCATCGATGTAAACAAATGAGCGTAGCTATTTATCTATTGCGAATAACAAACATTTTTTTTCACTCACTTATTCGAAATTGAATAAGGAATCGAATCGAAATATGTAAACATTTTTGTAGCAACTGATTGCAAAGTACTTGTTATTCCTAATCGTTTATAATCGCGTCCAGTTTGCGCCATTGCTCGACGTTGTGAACAAATGAACGTTGATATTTACCTATTGCGAGTTACCAACTTTTTTTTTCACTCATTTATTCGAAATTTAATAAGGAATCGAAATATGTAAACATTTTTGTAGTAACTGATTGCGAAGTACATTTAATTTCTAATCGTCTATAATCGCGTCCAGTTCGCGCCGTTGCTCGTCGTTGTAAACAGATGAACGTTGTTATTTACCTATTGCGAGTTACCAACTTTTTTTACACTCATTTATTCGAAATTTNATCGAAATATGTAAACATTATTGTTGTAACTGATTGAGAAGTACATGTAATTTCTAATCGTTTATAATCGCGTCCAGTTCGCGCCGCTGCATCGATGTAAACAAATGATCGTTGTTATTTAGCTATTGCGAGTTACCAACATTTTTTTTCACTCATTTATTCGTAATTTAATAAGGAATCGAAATATGTAAACATTTTTGTCGTAACTGATTGCGAAGTACATGTAATTTCTAATCGTTTATAACTTTTATGTATTTCTTTAAACAAATTACATGCTACGTAGAACAATGTTTTGTTTTAATAAGATAATGAAATAATATCAAAATTTCCCCATTTTCATCAAAAAATACACGCAAATGATTTACTAATAGCGCGCCGCGTCCAGTTTGCGCCGGGTCCAGTTCGCGCCGCTACATCGATGTAAACAAATGATCGTTGTTATTTACCTATTGCGAGTTACCAACTTTTTTTTTCATTCATTTATTCGTAATTGAATAAGGAATCGAAATATGGAAACATTACTGACGTAACTGATTGAGAAGTACATGTAATTTCTAATCGTTTATAACTTTTATGAATTTGCTTAAACAAATTACATGTTACATAGATCTATGTTTTGTTTTAATAAAATAATAAGGTAATGTCGAGGCCATGTCGAGGTTATGTCGAAGTCAGGTCGAGGTCATGTCGAGGTCATGTCGAAGTCATGTCGAGGTCATGTCGAGGTCATGTCGAGGTCATGCCGAGGTCAAGTCGAGGTCATGTTTAGGTCATGTTGAGGTCATGTGGAGGTCATGTTGAGGTTATGTTGAGGTCACGTCACCACGAGGTCAGGACCCCGCGTTGCCGACGCGCGTACGGCGACGCCGACCACGGGGCCTTCCGTTAGTGGGTGCGACTCGCGCACCTGGCGCCCTACGGACCCGGAGGTCCGAATCTCGTTAGCGTCCCGAGGTTCGCCCGTCGGTGTTGCACCGGCGACTCGGAGAAGCCGAGTCGCGAATCACGGTCGCAAGTTTTATTCGGTTTTGAAGCATTTTCGATCTATAGAGAATGATACAGCGTACATGACGCCTACTGTACTTAAGTCCGGTCTCACCAACGCGAGTTAATCAAATCGGTCGTGTAGTGTAGGTCGATTAATTCAGTTTGTCCACTGGAACTGACCAATCGTGTCTATCTAACAACGATGCGATTGGACAGTTCCAACGGGAGAGCTGAATTTAATCGACCGATTTGATTAACTCGCGTTGGTGAAACCGGGTCTTATTGTATCGACATGATTACGATACAGAAGCATAGATAGACTGCGTGTCGTGAAGGTGAATTCCGAGAAGGAGACGATACGAGACGGTAAGAGGGAGAGATGCGGGTAATTAAGAAGAAAGGCAGGTGATATCAAATATAGACGCGTGGAATTTGTAACTTCTAACAATGATATATTTTAGAACATATTGTCAATGGGGGATAGACATTATAACAGATAAACTATATTTCGAAATATAAGATTCCGATGCTGATGTTAGCCGGCGCCGCGAGCTCGCTCTTCCATCCCGTACTGATATGCACGAATTGCGAGGGAAGAGAGACGGATGAATTTTTAACGAACGAATCCGAGAGTACGACACACAAGAACGAGATTTGGAATTGCGGACGCTTATGCGAAAGTAATCAGTTAAATATTCAGCGAGTTTGCAGCCCAAGAGCGCTATATGTACAGCTATTCTATTGCATAACTCATGGAATGAGCTGAATTCGCAGAGTCGCGCGAACGAGAGTCGCTTGGAGAAAAGAAGCGTGTGGATTGTGGAGGTGCACATGTATATTGTTAAATTAATGATATTCTCACACAAACTCTGATCACACGATAATGCAAAAATTTCAAGGATCCTTAACTTAACGAGAGTAAAACGCGCGATAAATAGAAACGATAACTTTCGAAGCGATAACAAAATATTTCAAGTATCGTGTTTAAGATCCCTCAACAATCTATTTCGTGTGGAGAAAGAGAGAGAGAGAAAGGGGGAAAACAGCCTACGATTTCGGCAAATTATCTGGACCTATATAATTGCGCTTTGGATCTGTTCAGCTTCATTCCATACTCCTTTAACTAACTTATCTATGTAATATAATTGTGCAGTTCTCTCGATAAGCCCTCGACTTCGAACTCAGAGAATTCGCAACGAGAGAGGTTCGTTATAAGTAGAAGAAAAAAATAATCTTCAGCACTGGAGACTAAACAGTTGCAAAACGAATTCAGCGTCGAGAGTGTAGACGGACAACAAAGTCTTGTTTCTCGATTAAGTGGATTTTCTCATTTTTTTCGTCTGATAGGTGACTGTTGAGAATTTCCCTTGAAGAAACTATAAGGCACATAATTTTGAAGTTTGACATAAATGAAAAATAAATAAAAATAAGTAAAAATTTGTCTATGCTTTAACTACATACGGTAATTTATACACGTTATTATACTTAATATTATTAAAGTTATAAATAATGTTAGCGCTGAACGCAAAATGTTGGTTAACATATTTCCGGACGTTGGGGGTTTTTGAAACCAAAACGGCAAAAAATTATTAAACTGTAAACCTGTGACTATCGTTTCAACTATGATGAATTCAATATCTTTGATATTTCGATATTTTAAGGACTCCCGAAGCTGAAAAAGAATTGGTCAAAAGTCAATTTGTCTCTTTTAAGCCGTGCAATTTTATCTAAAATCAGTATTTATTCCTCATAATGGAGGCGATAACCACAAGTTTACAGTCTAATAATTTTTTCGCCATATTGGTTTCAACAGCCTACAATGTCTGGAATCGTATCGACCGTATAAACAAAATGTTCAGCGCTGTAAATAATAAATTATTTACAACTCTATTAATATCGAATATAATAACGTATAGAAATTACTGTACATATTTGAAACATCGATAAATATTCACACATTTCAGAATCGTACGACTTATAGTTGATCCAAAAGGAATTCCCAAAGACCGCCCACAAAATGACATTTCGAACCAGAATACTCCTTAATTTGAATTGAACGTCTCGAGGGAAACGCAAGTCCGACACGCTCGTCGTCGAAGTCGCTCTGAGCTCGAGTTCGAGAGCGGATATACGTTATATCGATTAATTTCTCGTTACACTACTCTACGATATATCTATTATGTCGCGATCTCGTGAATGAAGTAAAGAAATACGCGGCAGAGAGAGATACATTTTCACGTGACACGTGTCGTTCATACGATGACGAATTCCTCGAAATGGCGGCGGTGTAATCTCTTTTCCTTGTTCCTCCTTTTGACCGAATGAGAATCCGGGATCCCCTGCCGAGAAACGAGAGCGATATGATATCGTCTCGGCCGCGGTATCGCATACAACTGACTCTGATCACGCTTTAGACTAGAAAAGTACAACCGGCATTAGACCACGCTCTTCGATACAACAGAAGCAGAGAGATTTTCGACTTTCTTCTTCTTCTTCTCTTTCTTTTTTTTTTTTTACATTCTCTATGTTACTTTGTAGGCACTTTCTACGAGTAACCGGAGACACTCTCGGGATACGCGGGATGGAAATGAAAAGCCGCAACGGTCTCCTCGACGTTAAAATGAACCACGCGTTATCTATGTGACACACAACACGTCCATGAGGGAAAAGGGGGATGATGATAGGCTGACATTGGAAAACGCGGATGCTCTACCTTGATAATGATATTCTTTCTGCCTCACACACTTATTACCGTGTGTATGCGGTTTCCCTTAAATCGTACGTTTATATCCTACCGCCTTAGCCTCGGGTTTCCCCTAGTCGTTCATTCATTATGGATTTATTGCTTTAAATCTAATTGCGATAACCGATAAGATACTCAATATACAGGCATTAACTCTAGGTCGCTACAGCTATGATTGGAAAGATATAATTGGTACATCCTCTGAAGACACACTAATAGACCTGTCGGAACGCGCGCGCGCGTGATGCGATTCAATATCCATCACGTATCAAATAAGCTTTCGGTGCATCGCGAAATTATTATGTTTTATGCAATCGTATATATAGCAGGAATTGCCTATGTAAGCGAACGAATCTAGCGAGTTGCCGGTTAAACGATACGTGAAAGCAGTCGCGCTCAATATGCGGGAAAATACGAGTCAACGATCACGTGTAGCTTCAGCAATTAGCTCTCGATACCGATGGCGCCATTAATTAGTAGAACTCATTATTGCCCCCATCGATAATACTGCGTCGTTAAACAAACTATTTCGATATCCGAGTTACGAGTTCGAATGTGTGTGTGTGTGTGTGTGTGTGTGTGTGTGTGTGTGTGTGAGTGAGCCACCTAATTGTAGATTACAGTTTCTTTTTTCTCTCTTTATTGCTATAGGGCTTGTATAACTCTCGTCATCTCTTTCAACGTTTTACCGCATTGGACGAATCAATACTATGTTGTTACTTTTGCTTCTTCTTCTTCTTCTTCTTCTCCTCTTGTTTCACTTCAATCGTCAATTCAATCGCCACACCAAAGTATCTTTAAGATGCAAATCAGAATTTCTCTACTGCACCGCAACGCGGTTCCTGTGCCGCCGCCGATACCCTAAGTATGGATGCAATGATTCTTCATCTTCTCGCTGACGAGAAACGGAAATTTTGATGCCTCCGTTTAATTTAGCTACTCCTTGTTCATGGTTTTTAAGGCACCTGATATATATGTACGGTATGCACACAACACGATACTGAAGCGTATAAATAATCTCTTATGGCTAAAAAGGAGAAATAAAGAGAGATAGAGAGAAAGAGAGAGAGAGAGAGAGAGAGAGATAGAAAGATAGATAGAGAGAACCGATTCGCCATCGTAACTTAAAAATCATGAACCGGCGTATTGGTCTTCTGTAAATTCCTATAATCTCAGACGTGGGCGACATATCGCACAACAAAGGCGCGGGAAACCAAAAGATACGTCCGCGAAACGGACTATTTCGCACTGAAATATATGTATATACGTCCACAGGTGTGTGGCATGCTACCTACTAAAATACGTATAAAATCGCAGACACGCGAGACATCGCTTCAAAAAAGATTCAAAAAAAGGAGAAAATACGTACATAGCAAAAGAACAGACAACGTAATCGCATCGTCGTCGTTGTCGGGCAATCATCCACAGATGCACGCTGCCGCTGCCCTGGAAACTCCCTCGCGAAATCTTATCTTAGATGCGTTACAATACTATGATAGCCGTTAGGTTTCATATACGTACTAAGTGAAATTGGCTTGGTAGGATGAGTAGTAAGAGTAGTACCGCTTTGCGTGATTTCATATGTAAACGATAAAAATACCTTTTGGATATATTGACTAGTTCCTGTCACCTTCCGCTTCTCCGCCACGCGGCAGACTTCTTTCTCCGTTTTTTCCCTTCGTTCCTTCCATCTTTCTTTCTTTTATCTCTTTTGCTTTTAGCGCACACGCTCTATCTAAACCGTACAACGACAACAGAACACAAGATCTGATCCACTTGGTGATTCGTCGGCAATAACGTTCAATATTATATCTATGTTACATCTCTTTTTACGGAGTGGTCGACGTTAAAAATGTGGGGTCTACCGCGGCTACCTTCGCCGTCAGAAACGCGTGCATGCAGAACAACAGGTTTTGCAGCTGGGAACACTCCAATTCCTGCCGAACATACGGGAAGAGCGCGTTAGGGCACGATGTTGCAACGGTATCTCGCGATTTCAGGCCTGTTCTTTTTAGCTGAACCAACGTTGCACTCTAGAATTTCGTCCGTTTTCCTTTCAATATTGGGTTATATACAGAGTTGGGTAAATTAATGTCTATTTTTAAGTTAAAAATTAATGACCTATTAAAAGGCCATTCAACCATTACGTCATACCACGAGGAGAAGGGAGGTCTATTACCTTGCATGACATGATTGCAAGGGAAGGGGGAGTAAATGTCACATTAGATGGTATAACTTGTAAATATGGATGAGCGTGGTTATCCACTTTGTTTGCGTTCGTGACACATTTGGTTACATCTGGTGAAATTCTTTAAATTTTGACATGGTTTTGTGTCAATAATCAAAATGTTAATTTTTTAATATTTATTCTTTTAAAAACACAACTTTTATCCATCAAAATTATAAAATAAAGTTTTTGATATTATATGCCTATTAAAAAAAAATGAAATTAATATGAAATAATGAAAAAATAGTCTATTATAAGGAAACATCGACTGTTTTATGCTCAGGTGTACATACAAAAAAGAAGTACTAGCGTTCAGAGAGACGAGAAAGAAATTCTACTGGGATTATTTTGAATTTTTCTTATTCTACATTATAAGCAGCCCAGCGATTATTTTAATATTGATAAATTATTCTAATTTATATAAAATAGTTGAGAAGTTAAAGTTGGCGCATTTTAAAATAACTGGTTTAAGTTAGAAGTTAACCCATTATAAAGTTAACTAAGTTAAATTAAAAGTTACTAAACTTTTAAATTTAGTTTTTAATTGATTAACTAGTTATACCCAACTCTAGTTAAATACTCGTTTTACTTCAAGGGCAAAAATGCAGGCTGGTTCAGTCGTGAAAAAGAAAAATAGACCTTCAGTCGCAGAACGTGAGTTCACCTTCGTCTCGATAGTGATGCTGTCCGGTTCCTGGAAGTGCAATTTGAGCCTGCTCTTGCCGTCGTCGCTGGATCCTCTCAACTGGGAAAACTTATAACGCCATGCGATCTCTCCGATTCCCTCGTAGGACAACGTGAATCCTTGGGTCCACTCCAACGTTAGACCGGCGCTTCTGCTATTGAACGTAACCGGGAAGGTTTTGCTCTGCAACGGGAGAAAGAAAGGCATGCTAGAGAGAGATCCCGATGGAAATATTTTTGCTATAAAATTGATGAAAAGTGAAATGAAAATTATTGAAAAATTATTGAATATATTTCAAAATAAATCATAATTCTCCTTAGGAAATTTAATGTAACACTGTAAAATATAGGGAAAATTATAATTTAAATTTGAATCACATTAATTAAAATTATGATTTAAAAGTAATAACAACATTGAAAGATACATAACAACATTAATAACATAAAAGCAATAACAAATTTTTCAAAATATTAGATATCATGAAATTTACAGAATTTAACTGAAAACTGAATTTTACTGAAATATTGACGGAATAATAATGAGATTGAAGAAATTATTAAAAAACCAATAAAATGAGGTCAGCTGAGGAAGAATTTCAAATACATTTCAATAAAATTTCATTATATTTTCAATAAAATATTTTCACCAGGGGAGAGAGAGGGAGAGAGAGAGAGAGAGAGAAAAATAACGATATTTTGCAGCCGCGCGGTCTCAACGGACTCGCATTCACCTTTAAATGCGTGACAGCCGAGCATATAGCGGTATGCCAGGCCGCTTCGACCCGCAGCAGCTCCTGTCTGGTCTCGACGCTCAGGTATCGCGGCGGTTTCCCCGGGCTCTGTGCCAGGAAGCAGTGCTGCCTTTCGTCCACGTTCTCGGACTCACGCATCACGCGAAACATCGTCTGGTACACTTTGAAAGTCAACGCGCAGCGTGACCAGTCGCCTATATTGCACTGCAAGCAAGGAACGACGTTGGAGCAATGATGGTAAAGCGAGACGAGCGGACAACGAGATTACGGGGGCTTAAATTACGCGACAAAGAGTGAAACGCGACTCTTACGGGCGGTGTCTCGAACAGCAACAAGTCCGGCCCTTTCAACGCCAAGAATCTCGGCCGGTAGCTCTGCCACGGCTGATTGCTGTTGCTCACCGCCTCGTTCACCCAGCCCATGTACTCGATGCGCTCGCCGACGCCGAAATTACGATTGTACAGCTTCATCTGGAAGCAGTCGCAAGTTCAGTTCACAAAACGTCACTTCTCGTTTTCGCGGATTTGCCGGCGGAATCCGAGGCGAACAGAGCGCGCGACGGATTCTGTAGCATCGCATCGGTCCCATGTGATTAATTATATCACCTGCAAGTGCGTCAATCCGGTAATGTTATCGGTTATATATTTCAACCATTGACTGAGAATAGCGCTGTCGTCACAATGTATCACACCCGTGCGCGCCCCGTTGAGACCTCTCACTTCGAAGGCGTTCCTCCTCAGCTTGTCGGTGCCAAATATGTATCTCGTTACGTACGCCATCATCAGCGGGACTGAAGCAGAATGTTGAAACGTTAACATATCGAATTGTGCGACACATGAGTTAAAAAGAAGCGGACGTACAGTCGAGAAATTTTAAATAAGCCTGTAAGAGCCAAGGTTGGCTATTATTCGCAAACATGACACGTTAAGTTTAATTTTCAGCGATTAAGCATTATTAAATACACTCTATAAGTTGGATCTATGTGCGAATACTCTTTACGAATTATTAATATTTGACTGAAAAACATTTAATTGATGAAGAATACTCTCTTCCGCGGATTCAGTTCGTGAAGTTTAGTTATTTGATAATGTCAAGCTTAGTTGTTTAACCTTTACATGTTTAAATTTAGTTGTTTAATCATGTCTAATCACCGAGCTTAATGTCGCAATTTTTACTCGCAAATAAAACAACTAACGTTGGCTCTGCTGGCTTATTAACTTTTTAGTCACGAAAAGCATATATTTATATGCCCTAGAAAAGTTAATTTTTATTTACAAAAAGTATATATACATACGTCCAGTAAATTTTGCTCAATATAACACATTTATTTTCTTAAACTAATATCTTTACGAACATACTGTTACGTATTACTTATATGCTATAAGCTAAAAGTTTAAACATTTGTCGAGATACGAGTTATTATCTGAGACAACCTGTAATGACGTCCACCCATCTCTTGTACTGCATCGAAGTGGAAGATGCATTCGAGCTCTGTCGACTGTGGCTGCAACGAGGACTGCCGCCTTGTCTGTTTGGCGATATCCATCCATCTTCCGCGTTGGCGACGTTGTCCAGTTTTTCTTCTTTTTCTATTGGAGAGAACATGAGAGCGAATGTGAGTGTAACAAAATCATAGTTGACCCCTTGACTGGCAAGCTGAATTTCGCAAAAGTGGTTGTATACAGAGTACAATTTCTTTAGATTTATTTCATTTAATTTAAACAAATTTATCTATTAAAATAGTTCAAACAAATCAATTTTTAATCAAATATAATTGTATGATTTTTTTAATCATTGCATTGTTTGGTCCAAATAATTTATTGTTGGATAATTTATTGTTTGATTCAAAGAAGAAAATGTTTTGCATAAAAGAAAAAAAACTGTTTCATTTAATTTTCTCATTTTTATTATTAAAATTCACTACTAAAAAACTCGGCAACTCTGAATGATCTTATTAAACTTTCATTTCTTTTTTCGCATTATTGACTATCTCTTTATTATTTCATCGTCTACCTTCCCTTCTCTCACCCTTCTGCGATTTTTCCTATTAAAATATTTCATCCTCCCGATATACGATCAATCATCCTTTTTATTGACCACAATTCTTGTTGTTTGGCTTCAACGATCGAGCAGAAATGGTGTCAACTAGCTCTAGTGATTTGTAGTATTTGTAGCGTTATTCTTATAATACATCTTTATAATGTCCAAACAATAGATTAAATTGAAAAACGAAACGCATGAAACAATAATTTTTTTTTTCAATCAAATAACATGATTAAATCCATCGAAACAAAATTAAAAATGCCAAGTAATTTATCATATGGTTGAAAATTAATTTACTGCGTTTCCACCAGTCAAGGGGTTAACGTTCAGATCATGTTCTTCACAAAGATATACAAACGTGTGACGGTACCATTCTTCTGCAGAAACGGCTTGGCGGCTCGATAATGCTTGACCGTTAGAACCACGATGTCGCCGGCGTTCCTCAAGATATTAACAGCGTCGTCGTGGTTGCACGCCGTGATGTACTCCCCGTTCACTACGAGTTCACATCGCACGGATCACCGTAATTTTAATAAATTCTCAACATTGTCGCGGACAAAGAGGAACGGTAGTGTCGCATGGGTAGGGGATCCGCGATTGTTACAGCTGCAATGTACGAGGACGGTGCCGATAGCAACTTTGTTTCAATGGGAGGCGAGAGAAGGCAGAACTGGCAGAGAGAAGTAGGAATCGAAATCAATACTCATTAACTGTACCGCTCAACTATCGCCGAACTGTCAACGTCGTGTCACACACGTCGGGTTCGGTGCGAATAAACGAGTGTTCTAATGAGATATCGCGCAGCTCGATCGAAATATTAATGTAATTTAGGCGGAGGGGCTAAAACAAGCGCGGGTTCCGACGGGAGTTGATAATCGGCAGTGTGAGCGCGCACGTGTATGCAACAGCAGCTCCCAGCGGCGGATACCTTTGATAATTGCGTCGCCTACAAAAAGTTGGCCGCATTGGTCGGCGGCCTGACCCTTATAGATCCTGGATATGAGTACTGGAAGCTTGTGTTCCGCTCCGCCCTTTATACTGAGCCCCAGACCTCCGACCTTTGACCTGGTGATCTGCACCATGCGCTCCTTCGCGTCCAAAGGTGGCTTATTGTGATTCGCTGCCTGCTAAAAATGCATTCTTGTCTTTGACACATTTCATGAGCGCGCACTGATCGATGAAACGCCGGCGGCAGCCGCGATCGCTCCAAAAACGACGAGAGACGCTTCATGAATAACGCGACCGTCGGGCGGCACTTTACCTCCAGATCCTCCCGTTGCAGCTTCAATACCTCCATAGACAGGTGCAAGCGCATCGGCACGGGTTTGCTCTTCCCGTCGCTCACTGTCACCATCCCCGTCCGCACCTGCCGACCAAAAATTTCACTTGACCAAGGCGTTCGCGTAAATCGCATCGTCTCGTTACGTTCCCTTCGTCAACGTTAACGCAAGACCTATTCATTGCTCGACCGGCCGTTGTATCTGCACGCGACATTGTGTCTACCGTTCTTGAAATCAAAATTAATTCTGTAGAAGTGTAAGTACAGAGGGTGTACCGTTTTAACTTTAACAGTAGACTATCTTGAAAACGAAACAATTGATAAAAAAGTGGTTTAAGTTAAAGTGGTTTAAATTAAAGTCGTAGAGTTTGGAAGGGGATATAAGTTGATGACTTTAACTTCGTTATATTGTTAATAAGTCAAGGTCATTTCAAAGTCAACGTTATTTTTTTTTTATTGGAATCACATTGTTTTTTTTTAACACAAATTCCTCTGTTCATTCTGTACGAAAATACTATGGTGAGATCATCGAGAAGTGAGTACTTTTCGAGATATTTTACTTTGTATTCTGATATTTTTCAGTAAAGGATATGAAATATCTTGTTCTTGTTCTAATTTCGACTACCCGAGTCTTTCAGTAAATGAGTATACGAATAATTTTAGACGTTACAAATATTGATTTTTCTAACAATAACAGATAAAAATAATGTTTAAAATTAGCCGTATATTCAACCGTATATTCAGTTGCTGAAAGACTTGGGTAACCGAGTCGAAATTGACAGCACTATTTTCGATAACATCACTTCAACATTTTTGTACGTGGAATTACAAGCGGAATCGATCGCTGTAAGCAAAGATAAAAAAACTTTAAAAAAATATATTGCATTTTGCAAATGCATCGATGCACCAATGTACAACGTTAATCAATTAATATCAATAATAATTAATATCAATAATAAATTTTTTCTCATATTATTAGGCAGAAAAGTGTTAAAGTGAATATTTTTCGATTGTCACAGCAACGAAATTGATACTGAAAGGCTTTGTTGAAAATAACTACCAAAAGATTGCATGATATTCATTTGTTTCCGTCGATGTTAGGCAATATATAAAATATATTTGTAAAGGCAGCAATTGAAAAAATAAATGTGTTACATTTACCAAACGTACATGTACACATTACCTTCGTAAATGAGCGTCAATTTTCTCAGGGCGTATATATACGTTCTTCGTAGCTGAAAGGTTAATAAGCCAGCAAAAGCCAAACGTTGTTTTATTTACGAATAAAAGGTGAACACTTTATGAGATATTTCATATTTTATACTGAAAAATGTCGTAATAAAAAGTAAAATATCTCGAAAAGTATTCACTTTTCGATGATCTAATATTAATATTTTTAGACAGAACGAACAGAGGAAACGATGTGTGTTAAGAAAAAACTGTATAAATCTATCTAAAAAAGTGAAGTTGAATTGAATCATTATCATACAACGAAGTTAAGGTTACCAACGAAACCTTACAACTTTTGTCTGCGCTATTTTCTTGTCAATTGCTTCGATTTCAAGATATTCCACTGTTTCCATTAAAATAATACCTTGAAATAAATTTTTTAATTGTAAATAAATTTGTAATAAAAATAAATTCTGTAGAAAGATAAATAAAAAATAAACATTTTTAATAAATAAAATAAATTTCGTATAGAATTCAAAATCAATGATCAGGTGAAAAATAAAGATAGAGATAGATGAAGATCAAATAGAGAATGAGGATTTGTAGAGAATACAAATGTTCGACGAAACTTTTAATAAAGATTTTACTTAAAATCTTGTGCAAAGTTTTTCTTTGAAATCAATCGGGGAAAGGCAAGACGGGAGGCCACGAGGTCAAGAAGGAAGCAGAACGAGGGCTATTTCAGACTTCTGAGAAGCTCTTGGTGCGGAAGTACTGCGAAGATTAAAGAAAACGAGCCTGCCGTCGTTACGATGCCGATACTAACGAGAAGCCTGCATATTGACTGGTCGCGAGCGGCGAGCGCAGCGCCGGAAAAGCCGGCGTCGCACAGCAAATACATGCATTTATGCATGAGGCCTGAACGACCGTTTCGACTCGTAAATAAATTCTTAATTCGATGTTCGCGTTTCATCGAGTTACGGCGAGAGATCGTACCTAATTATTTCCAACGGAGTTATCGTCATTACGTTGGCTCCCGCTCGTTCGCCGGGACGACGTTACCAACGTGTACACGTGATGTGTACCCACCCGTTACATTTGACCCATAGCACCGCAATAGGTCGTATAATTAATTCGTATTCGTTAACTCGCCGTCATGGTTCGATAATAACCGCCGCGCAGTTCGTTCGCGGGCAATCCGGCGCGAATTTTGCCGACGAGGCGACGACGCAAGGGGGCGATCCGTTTCGTTTAATCAATCGATTTTTCCGTCTTCGATGCGCGGGCCAAGACCTCCCCGAATTACACGGTCACGATCCAATTCTCCGATAGGAGCCTTTCTCGCCGATAGCGGCTATAAGCGGCGGCACGGCAAAAAAGTAACCGAATTATCCGGGGGAACCGGCGTTCGAGTTATTTACCAGGATTATATCGCGACTTTTCCGTCGCGAGTTCCTCGACCGATTTCGAGAGCCGAGTTCTTCCGCGGCCGAAGGGCACGACGGCCGTACGTCTCTCCCGCGGAAGTTTCGCGGCAAAATTCACCGTATTTGCATCGGAACGTGCATCTGAGACTTGCGCGCGCCCGCCCGCTCCGATAAAATACGGGCCGAGGTTTTCGTAAACGCGAACGCAATTTCACAGCAATTTGCATGCCATGAATATGAGAACTCGATCCCGCCGACACGTGTAAAGTGACTCAACGAGCGTGTCCTGAGCGTGTCGCGAACGGCGGAATCGATTCCGCGAGGGTATTCCGCCGAAGAAAATCACGCCTGATTGGCCGCGAGAGAAGTCGCTAAATTGGCCGATCCGGACGGACGGACAGGCGGGTGGGAGTGTATATATTTAAGCGACAACCGGAACGTGACCGATAAATAAGACTTTCGGGTCGTTAAATCGGCGAAGCGGGACGAAGCGGAGGCGCGATATTCTCGCGGAGATGTTCTCGATTGTTACGCTCTCGTTATGCATTTACATCGTATATTTTTAACGTGCATTTAAAACGAATCCGGCCAGGTTCAACAGTATCACTTAGGCTGCGTTAGGAAACTTCGCCTGGGTACACCCGACGAAGCTCACGTCGTTCGGAAACGCTCGAGGCGTGCTATAGTGTCGCAAATGATGCCGTCGTTCGGAAACTATTACCGGGTGCACCTCAGGAGGACAATCTTCCGCCCTGAAATTTCAGAGTGAACGCGGCTGACTTGTTGCGTTTGAAATATTTTGAACCGTGGCAACGGAGCGCATACATTTATTAAAGGCACAGGTGATGTACTGGCGAAGATAACCAGCGAATATATGAATCCCCGGGGATCTTTGATAAAAGAAAAACACCAAAACCGATACACTATTTTGTTTTTAGGTTCCGAAGCCTCGTTCCGAAGATGTAAAATTAAAATTCATGAGCATGAATGCAAGCCAGCAACACTTCTCTATCAAAATGTATGATAGACTTATGAAAAATATTATACATTTCCTTACAAATAATTATTTTTTTAAGATGTTTGAGGATTGATGCTTCTAGAAACTAGGCCCCAAAACTGACATACCCATGATACTTATGGGAAATTATCAAAGAAATTAAATAAAAGCGTTGAAATTATATTATTTTACACATTTATTATTTATCGTATATCTTTACGTTATATTTAATCACACATATTTTTTTTGTTAATTTTATGAAGTTTACGATGCATACTGCTCCCTTATTATGTAGAAAGAAATTCCTTGACTTCTTCTCGATTATCTTAAATAAATAAATAAGAAAAACAAAGGAAAATCAGTCATCGGTTCAGTTGTGTTCTGTGAGATATTTCACAGTAAAGTTCAATTACATCGGTTGAAACATTAATAAACTCAGGTATGTCGGTTTTCAGAACAACCTAACTTGAAATTTTCTTTATATAGTTCAGTGACAAAAAATAGAGATTGACATAAGATTCGAAGTGATTTAAAAAGCTCATATCTTACATTATAAAATAGCATTGTTAAATAAGTTATTTGTCACTGACTTGTTATTTTAAATTTTACGAGAAGGAAACTCAACAAAATTTTAATACAACGAAAAATCAAATGACGTTAGTAACATAACTGAACGCGTTTGCAAACAGAAACTGCCACTTCAGCTCCCGCTACTATACACAGTAGATGAAGTTCATGTGCTGTCACGGACAGGGTTCAGTACTTGACAGCTGAGAAACATGGGGATGTCAGTTTACTATATCTAGCTAGCCTTGGTGCTTTTCTTCTACTGAGTGCGCCTCAGGAGGAAAATTTTCTACCCTAAAATTTCAGAGTGAATGCGGGTGACTTGTTGCATTTGAAATATTTGAAACGGTGGCAATGGAGCGCATCAATTTATCAAAGGCGTATTATATACTGGAGAAGATATATGATCAATATACGATTCAATACAGGGATTGCCACAGAATCTTGGAATTCCCTGACTATTCCATATTTTCTAGACGACAATGAAAATTTTTCCATGACCAATTTGTAATCTTAATTTTTAATGTTTAGAAGCTGAGATTGTAGGAAAGGTAGTTTAAATTATTAGAAGCAATACAAACTTAAAAGTTTAGTAACATAATATAATCCGAATGCAAATTCGATCCAACAAAAAATAAATAAACATTGGCAAAAAGAATGAAGTTACGAAATGGATGAACAAAAACGCTGAATAAAATTGACCAATCACGTTCGATTATTCTCCTTACGTTTAAGAAATAATCGACTGTGATTGGTCACTTTTATTACTGCTTACGTTTTACAACTCAAATTTTTCTATATATCACAGCCCTAATACGAAAAAAAAATTTTTATAAAATGCGGAATTTTAACCGCATTTGACTATAAATGTTAAATATGATATTGAAAAGATATAAGCATTCTTTAGAATAAGAACATTTAAAGGA